GGTAAACACACGTGGAATGCATGCATACACACAGTCAGCACAGGTGGCGTCCACTCAAACTCACTTATCATACATGTGCTCAGTTACACGCTGACTCCTCCTGCCACCACATGTGTATGTATAAATCTCTCCTCATGTTCATTTACACTGGTCTAAACCAGGATTATCTGGTTTATATACATGCTCCAACAAGTAAAATCATCTCTAACATGAAGTGCCTTTTAGGAAAGTTAAACAGACTACAAAGTACTCTCAGGAAATTACAAACAAATCTAAATTACATTCTAAAGTGCAGTTTGAAATGTAACTTTTAAAAACATAAACAAACTAAAGGGAGTTTTTTTTTTGTTTGTTTGTTTGTTTACAATGGTAAACCCAGCAGGTGGAAACTTAGACCAACAGTAAAGTGAAGTACTGTTTAGGAAAGTAAAACCTCCTCTGGAAGTTAAAATCACCTGTAAAATAAAGTATCCCAAGTTCAATTACATAACTATAAAGTAAGTAAAGCAGCTGTTTACAGCTGCTCCAAAACTAGGTGCTCGGTACTGTTTTAGAAAAGCAGACCTTTAAATGACGTCATTAAGACGTTCAGTCGGCTGGTTTGTTCGACAGTGCACTCTGCAGCAGAGAGTGAACAGTCAAATCAGAAACACACCTCTGTTTGCTTTGGCCTGGCCCCATGCTGCACTGTGCCGGCCTCAGCCGCATGCCTTGCAAATGGAGAATGACATTACTGTTATTGTGTTGGTGGTGGACTTCCTATGAATATACTGTGACTGTACTGAGGCAGACATTAACATAGATGTGATAATCTGCTTAGATAACATAGCAAAGGTCGTGAGATGGAAATGTTTATGTTCAGGGCCCGGAAAGGCAGAAGAAATGCTTAGAAACACTAAACAGCAGTAAATATACTGCTCAAAAAATAAAGAGAACACAACATAGTTGAATGTCTTATCTTTGTGTTCCCTTTATTTTTTTGAGCAGTGTATTTTATTTGTTCTAATCTACAGGTTTTCCATTACCGGTGTCCGGTGGAGTTAGCTATGTACCTGTACTATATGCATATATCTAGCTCAGTGCCTTGACAGTAATAGTACCTTCGCTACAACCTCTAACTCCCTCTGTCTATATACATCTCCATCCCTTTTCATAATGATGCCTTATATACCATTATTGAAATATGGGAGATTATTTATTCACTTATATTATCTACTTCAGATGTTTGACAAATTAGAGGAAAATCCTGAATAAATGACTGGAAATAAAAAAATGCAGGGGTCACTAATTAATCTGCTGATTATTTATCTGTTTATTCCCAGAATATCAAAAATTGATTTTAAAAAATGTCCATTTTGACTTTCCAGAGTCAATGGGCCCTGTCATGGTGTGTGGCATGGGTAGTGAGTCTGCGTTTCCTTATTTCTTACATGCGCATTTACCGTTTTCTCAACACGCGCATCACGTTGTCTTTTTGCCAAGCAGTAGTCGGCCGACTTCACGCCGGCGGTTGTGTCTGGATGAAAATGGGGTGTGTCCAGGTACATTTTGGGCAAGTTGGTAATATGAAGGTGCACAAAGTGACTGTGCCACAGACCAGCAAAACCCCTGTGGTCAACACATAAATCATCGTTGCTAGTTAATGGCTGCTTTGAACATATGATGTGCACCTGTTTAGGTGCATGCACAATTCTGATGCACTGTGCTTGTTACACCCTGGGACGCACGGTGCAGGACATGCAAAACTTAAAAAAAATAAAAAGATGACGTGTTCACTGAGTGTTGTGCACATCAATAAATATGTATTTATAATAAATACCATTTTGATTAGTGATCGTGTGCCTTCACCTTGCGCACTCAGTGGAAAATCGTATGACAACTCCGCCACCATGCTAGTAATCCACCAAACGTTCAAATTCGCACGTATCTAACAGGGGATGTGAAGTTACATACTGATTGGATAATTGCATGTTATGCCCTAAACACACTCCTGAGGAGATCAACTACAGCCCTTTTGCTACTTGCATGGGCATTTGAACCGTTTTTCCTCATCGTCAAATTACCGAAATGAACATGGACACACCCAAACACCACTTGTGCCAATGCATCTTCGTCAGACCCCACTGAGCCTCAAAATAGGGCCCAAACTCTTCAAATGTCTTGTCCAACCAACAAACCCAAAGATCTTCAGTTTATTTTCACATATGACATACAAAAGCATCAGTTCCTCACATTAAAGAAGGTGGAATCAGAAAATGTTTCTGACTTTTGTTTTAAAATAGTTGTCATTAAAGTTTCTAATGATTGTAGCTTTAGGTTACTGAATGTCTTAATGAGGACGAATGATGTTTCCTCCCTCCAACAGAGGAGCCCTGAAGCTGCCCTGATGACACTTTATTAAAAATTCGATGTTGTTCACTTTGTGTTAGGGTTTCCTTTAGTTTGGCACCCAACTGCAGGTTTCCCAAGAAATTACGTACCCTGCAGGACTCAATTTACTTCCAGTGCCAAGTTAAAATGAAAAAGAAGGGAGTGTGACCGTTATCTGAGGTAAAAGTCATGATGTGGAGGTCAAGGTCATGACTACACACTGTCTAAACTACAAATACACTATTCCCTGAAACGTCGCCCAGTAGTTTAACTGTCCAAAACATAAGCATAATGTAGCAAAACATATTTTTATAATTGTTGGCTGTTAATCAAAAGCAATCTGAGCTCTCGCTGCCAGTGTCAGTGACCTGTCTGACAGGTTGGGTGAACACAGAATAAACACAAATCTAGTTTGAACTTCAGGCAGTTGTTAAAGCCAAAGTCTTGGCTGCTATGAGAGGATTAGTGCAATAGAACCAGCAGTGAAGAGCTGTCGGTGTATGTAATGTCAGTGACAGCGCTGACTACCAGGTATCTAAAGTTGGTGACCTTTTGATTCGGTTGATAAAAATCACTCTAATCTGGCATCAGTCAAACCCAGAATTAGTTCTGTTTACCTGTTGATTTCGAATTAGCCGACTTTTAGGATTGTTAACTTCTTCAATAGAAGAACAAGCAGATAAACTAGAAGGGTTCTGACCAATGGCCCCAAATTACTTGGCTATAATGTTTAATGTCTGAGGAGCTTTCTGTCACAGATTAGAACAGAGTCACGTCATAAAGTAGCGTCACATCACACCATGTCAGATGGATAGTGCTACTTTGTGAAAGGCTTTCCATTTAGTGCTGCTGTCTCCTTGTTGAGCTGTTGCACAAAAATTAGCAACTGTCGCTGTTTGTTTCTGCTCTTTAAATGCCCTTCTGTCCAAAACAGTATGAGCCACACTAAGACTGGTTGTGTGTGTGTTGCCTTTTTGGGCAGTGTGATCATGTTAACTGGGCATAGTGGTCCCAAACAGGTCCTCATTGTGCTGTGAAGAGCCCGTTGTACTAGGGGTTGGGGGGCAGTGCTGTGTGTGTGTGTGTGTGTTTGTATGCATGCTTTTGCATGCATGTGTACGGTAGTATACAATCGCTGCTGGCGAGGAGGATAGATTTTATCAAAGTCCTACCCTCATCTGTTCTCCAAATCCTTTCTGTTTGTGTGTGTGTCTGTGTGTGTTCTTGTTTTTATGTATTTGAGCACCCTGAAATTCAGGAGTTAATATCTTCATGGTGTCCAGCAAACTACTTGTGGGGCCTGGAAGCCGTGCATTTTACAAAAATGACAAGGTGTAAGGTTAGAGCTAGCGTTGGCTTTGCTTAAGGGTTAAGTGTTAGGCAAGTAGTGGCTCTGGTTAAAGTTAAGTCTATGTACGGACCCTGTAAGTGACAACCGCAAGTCTGTGTGTGTGCGTGCGCATGTGCACAACAACAGCTTCCTTTGACTCACATAATAAGAGAGTTATTTATATTCAGATGTTGTTGGTACATTTGCTGCTACATTAGTTTTAATCACAAACTCACAACAGTTTAACACAGCACCAACAAGTCTGCTTTAACTATCTGCAACTAAACCTTACTGCAATACATCAAGGGAAAATAAAAATTGTACTTAGACTGAACTGTAGCTACTTGTTGCCTGGTAACACAACTTTGCATCAGGCAGCACTGGGAGCTGTTGTGGGTGTGCAAGGAGTCACTGTGAACTATGACCTTTTAGTCTTAGCAGTGTTTTACCGAGTCCGAGTGTTTGATCAGTCTGATTCCTATGAATTCACCCGCATCAGTTCTACTGAGTAGGTCATTTTCTGGTCATAACCCAGCTTCTACAGACGTCAGTCCTACTTTTCTGTTTGGCCGACGTTACACATGCTGCTTCTACCCAGATATTTACCTAAATACTGCAAACAAACTGTAAACATTAAAAACATATTTTCATTGTGAATCGAGATTCCACAAGTAAAAACCCTCAGCGGTGGATGAAGTATTCAGATGGTTTACCTAAGTAAAAGTAGCAATACCAGAGTGTAAAAATAATCAGTTACAAGCTGAAGACCTGCATTCAAAATGTTACTCGAGTAAAAACACAGAAGTATTAGCATCAAAGTGAACTTAAAGTACCAAAAGTACTCATTACACAGAATGACACATTTCACATCAATAGATATCATATTATATAGTTTATAATTATTGTCCATCGCTATAATGTTGCCGCTAGTAAAGGTGGAGCTAATGTTAACTACCTTATGTGCTAATAATTTGATTTACTGCAGGGTAGCTTGTGAATTTCCCACCATGGATCAATAAAGTCTCATGATTTTACTATATTTAGATTTAATGATCTGATTCTATAATGTAACTGAAGTTGTCAAATATATGTAGTGGAGTGAAAAGGAAATGAAAATACTCACGTACATATACCTCCAAATTATACTTAAGTACTGTACTGGAGTAAATGTATTTTCCACCCCTGGAAACCAGCACCAGATCGCTGTGATATCACCTGCACTGTAAAAAGTGTCACTGATAATGAAATTTAGTTGAATCTATTTGAGATGAATGTTTTTCATTTTGTTTTGTTTTCCCAGTGAGAGAGTTACAAGAGAGTGATGACACGATCAAGAAAGCAGGACGTTGAATGAACCGGATGGTCGATGGGAACCGGTAGGTTTATGGAACATACACACACACACACACACACACACACACACACACACACACACACACACACACACACACACACACACACACACACACACACACACACACACACACACACACACACACACACACACACACAGGGAGTCCCACAGAGAGACACAGTAATGCCCTGGAGGGTGCCAGTCATGCCCAGCTTCCGCTGCGCTCCAAATTGAGCGTGGCACAGAGTGTATGAAGTCAGCCGTCTGGAAGAGAGCCAGGCATTGTTCCTCTGAGCAGCTGGATGGTAATTACCAGAAAGAGAGAGAAAGAGAAAGAGAGAGATGGAGAGAGAGGGGGAAGGGGCTCTCTCACCTTACTACTGTTGCTTCTGCTTCCTCTCCTGGTGCATGTACTGTATATATAGGAAAGTGCTGAGGGTCCTGTGAAGCTACACACTGCAGAGAGTGCTGCACGTGTAAGATCAGTGGTGCAGTGGTTCATCACAGGAGATAAAGCCATGGCACCTGTCAGTACCTGTCATAATACAGCGCACTGAGTTTCTTTTAACCATGCAGAGAACATAAACATGGGAAAATATCATGGAATACTGTGCAAGGAGAGAGAATAACCACCTAAACAGCATAAAGCAGCATCACCAGCTTTTGATTTGAGCCTTGGAACAACCCACAGATGAGCTCACCAGATGACTTATACAGAAAGTTGGCAGTGAGAGAGTGTCAAAAAATATATGTAATTTATGAACAAAAGGGAAAAACATAAAAATCAAACCTCTGTGATATTAATGCTTTTTAAATCCATCATTACAGACTGAAATAAGAAACTTTAATATATTTTCTTAAGGAGCCTGACCCTCAACAGTGACTTTAATTTGAACCAACTGAACTTTCAGTGGCTTTAATCCTTCCCTTCATCTCTGTGTACATACTTAGCTATATTTTGCAACTCTGTGCATGTGTGTTGTGTACATTTATCTGATCAAAGAAAAGAGATAGACATACAGTGAGACATGTGATGCTGGAGGAAGGCAGGCGAAGAGAGGGGGGAAGCGGAGAGAGCTCCACCGCCGTCCAGGCCTGAGGAATGTATCAACTCGCTGTCAACTATCTGCTGCTTTGTCATGAGACCGCAGAGCTCTGGAAACACGTAAAGTTGGCTTTTCACACCTTCAGCTCCTCCCACCTAACTTCCTCCACCTCCCTCCTCCCTACACACACAGTGGCAGCAGTAAGCAGGCCAATGCTAGTGCAGCTGTGACCAGAACAATAGCATTCCTCAGGTTTTAAATGCCTGGCACTTAGATTCCTAACAGTTAGATTCCTGGCTGGGAGAAGCTGGGGGTTGCTATAGGACACCAAGAGCTGTAAGACGCCTTGTAAGGAGACGTACAGCTGTAAAGTGCCCTGTGATTTGTGTTTTTTATGAGAGGACTGGGTGGGTCCACTGGCGACGGGGGAAGCTTTGCTGTTCCATTTCACGTTCTCTTTCCTTGGATGTGACATTTTCAACGATCCACTTTTACCCATCTAGGTGGAGGGGCGCCCCGCTGCTTTGCTGGAGCATCATGTGTCGAATGAGGCACCTGTTAGGTCAACACGTGTGTCTAGTAATTTGTTTTTGACACATGTGGTGTCGATAACTACGCAGATGTGTGGAAAGTGACACATTAGTTTTAAGCACGTTAAATTGAGTGTTAACACAAACAAACATGTTGTGTATACAGTAGATGACAATCTGGAAGATTACACTTAGCATGTTCTCCCTGCAGAAAACCTAAAAAAATGTATCTTCTCACCAGCTATGAATTTGACCAAAGCCCTTAAGAAACGTCCCTATTCCTGATTTTGTTTTACAGAAAAGATTCCATATGTGTGTATTCAAAGGGTTTTATAGTGCATTTGTTCTCCTTGTCAAAGCAGTGCTTAAGTTACTAAGATAATTTACTGACAATTAATCCATTGAAACTGCTTTTATTTTGAAACCCTGTCAATAGGAACATTTTTAATATTAGTCAGAGAAGACGAGAAGCCTTAATACTGTGCACCTCACATCATGTGTTCCTCCTCTGGTGGCTTCAGTTCACACCGCGCCGAGCTGCCCAGCTATCTGCCCATCTGAAATAACCCCAAAAATAACGATTCTCTCATTAACCACGCCTGTTTCACAATTTAAATATAAATGAATCTAATTTAGAAAACCTCTGCCGCAATGAAGGAGACTCATTTAGAACCAATCTAAAATTAATGAGGGCATCTGGAGAGAGACGCAGAGTGGAAAGGGGCCCTGCGTGGCTTAACAGATACTAGAGTGAACAAGCTACTGTACTTTAAACACTGAAATCCCCATTAATTTTAACATTAATGCACTACTGTACTCTGAATGGTGGAACAGAGCTTTAATGTTAGTATAAACACATCACAGCGACATCTTCAGACTGACTCTCGGCCTCTCGCTGTCAAACCTTCTTTATGCTGTCATTTATCAGACTGTGCCTGGCCATACAGTATTATAATTTTCTAGACATTTTTAATAGAGTGCTATGTGACTGTGTTCGTACATGTGTGCAGGATTCAACCCCGAGACCTGTCACATTTAACATCACAGTAGAATTACATACTGAGATTGTTATAGTAGAAGACCTAGATGTTGTTTGCAGTAGCAGTGCAGCCAGCGTGCAAATTAATCAGGCTTTTATCTTTTTAAACCATCAGATCATGCACAAATTTCCCACTTTCCTGATGCTCAAACATCTTGAGAAAACCTAACATTTCTTAAAAAATAATAATAATACATTTGGCCAGTGCATAAATCTACATAAGATTTGATTTTGTTCTCATCAAATGACACATTTTCACTGACATTTCTCCTTCCTAACGGTCTTTCCCTCAGCAGCGGTCCGAAAGGGTCCAGCAGATGCCAGCCAGCTCCCACAGTGACTGTTTGGCTTTGCAGGTTTAATTCCCGATGGGTTTGGGTCCAGAGTGATTAGGCTGAGCTGTAAAGGCCAGCGGGCTTGTCAGGTGTCTCCACACATTAACTCTGTTCTGCTCACACCCTGAGCCGACAGCACGAGGCGGAGGGGACAGAGAGACGTTGATCTGGAGTGGTGGGAGGCACCAGAGGAAGCAGGGCAACTCTTTGTTTAATTGTATTGTTGATCTATTAAATAAGCTTTAAAAAGATGTTTAATTTAAATTTGTATAAAGATTGAGGGAGCCTGTCTGACACTGAGGAGAGTCCTTCAATTTCAGTGAGATATTAGGTCATGTTTAAAAGGATATTGATGATTGACCGTGTTTATCTTGTTGCTTTTGTTGTGAGGGAAAGAAATCAACATAGCTGGTGAGTTAATGTCAATTTAGAGTACTACACGAGGGGACAGCATTTTGTTTGTACCATGGCTCCATAATCCAAAGTATCTCATGTTAAAACATGAGACATTAAAGCTGAGACATAGTGTAACACAAGGTGGACGTGTTTTAAACCATGCAGATGTTAACGCTTTGCACAGAATGGTCACAAGTTATATATTATATTAATGAGTCTTGCAACTGAGATGCTACATTTTCTCAGGACGGAAACATTTGTAGTTTTACCCCAGTTTGGAAGTTGAGATGTTGGTGGGAAGAAAAAGAAATCTGAGTTGTGGTTTAAAATATTTAAAAACTACACCACCGTCCGAAAAGTAAAAGAAATAGGCAGCTTGATGGAATATAAGAAGTTCTGAACATTTTAATGTAATTCTCAAGGACACATGGTGAAATAGGTGGATGTGGCTGAGGTGCGAGGCCCTTCTTTTCTGATGACGTTTAGTTTGTGGCAGTAAAAGCAACACACGGGTGGATGCTACCTCAACACTTTCCTTAACCTTTAACCCTAAAGCCAGCAGAGAGACAACACAGTCGACTCCTCCCTGTTGGATTCAAATAAACTTGCATTGTGTGTGTGCACAAACAACTTCCTGAATGCAGACGTGCAGCATGCTAATGGGGGCGGGTCACCCCCCCTCCCCAAAAAAAGAACTCTTCCTGCTTCTGACCTCCAACCCTACCCCACCCACACCCGCCGCATACACAGCATGGTGCAGCTATAGGAGGGAGGTGCTGGTAGGCTTTAGTGTGTGTGTGTGTAGGCAGAGGAGATGATGTTGAGGTTGTAGAGACGGGGGAAACTTGTGTCCTGGTCTGAATGAGTGGAGAAGATGAGACCTGCTGAGAGGGCACTCTATATACACTCCTCCTCCTTCCTGCTATACCTCTCCCTCCATCCCTCACCTCTTTTCACCCCCCGTCTCCGGCCGTGGGGGTAAAGTACATTACATGCTTGCTAATCAAACCTCCATTACAAGTTAGGAGGGAGAGGAGCAAGAGTCTGAGTCTTCTTATTTAATCTCACTTCACCAAAACGTTCTTCTCTCTTGAACAGTGAGTGTTACACCCACTGCTATACTGCAGGTAATGTCAGAAACATTTTAGAAAGAAAGCACGATTACAATCTTGGATAACTGTAAAAAAATACAAGATGCCAGTGTTATTTTTATGACACTGCAATTTGATCACAGCTAAAACACAGTGGTGAGGCATGGTTCAAAGAACACAGAGGTTCAGCTGAACTTTTTGCAGCAGTTCTCCATCTCCAGGTGTTCTTAGGTTCAGTGTCATGATGCCAACAGGCACAGGTCAAACCTTTAAATGCTATTCTTGGAAAGTTTGGAATCATGAACTGAAAGTTTAAATCCCCCAAATTATGTTGAAGGGAGCAAATAATGCCCTGATCATTTTCCACTTTTGTATGTTTGAGCAGCAGTCTGCTCTTAGATGATTATGAGAGTCCTTGATGTAATGACCTATTAGAAGATAATGCATCCTGTGTACATGATGGCTTGAGGGTAGGCCAGAGGAAGATTATTGGATTTTTTAGAAATAGAAGAGGTTACATCATTTCATATATATAT